AAAACTCATATTTTATTTTCTACAAAATGCTGAAATAACTCATATCGCATATACACGAACATATGCACTAGTATCTCTTATTTTTATCTATAATACCTTCTTACATCAAAGTTCACTGTACTTTATTTACAGGTTTGATACCCCAACCATAAAAATGAAATTCCCTATATCGATGCTCACAGTACCCTATCTAAAAGCCAGATTCTCCTGCAATTTAATTAATCCAATTAAATTACTCGTATCAAAGTTCACCATGTGTCATCTCGATAAATACTCGATACTCTATCAAAAGAAATTAATAGCCTATTTTCTGCAAAGTATTAACACGTATTACAGGTAATATGTACACGTGCATTCGTTGCTTTTATATAATGATTTAAAGCTGCAAACCACGTGAATTCCCATTTGTAGAATACTACAAAGATATCGATATATAATCAGTCAGCATGTTCATTAGAAGTGCGATACTTAATGATAGGATGAGTCAAACTTTATCGTGACGCCAGGAAAAAGTGTGTAACAGATACAGGTGATAGCAGGACGACACACAAAGTGGAAGAAAGTTCCGAATGACAGATATATTTATCGTCACATCTGAAGATTAACCCTTTGCACTCGAAGATTTTTTGGCCAGAGAAGAGTGGAAAATCAAAGATTCTCTATTAACACTTTGACTACAGCAGACTTTGAAACGCATCGGTCGTACCACACGGGTAGGAATTCATTTGCAATGTCCGCCGAGAATGGCAAAATTTTGGGTAGAGATGCGCCCTCCGTGTCAGAAAAGCAAACTGTGTTGAGCGCTTATATGCGCCCTCCGTGTCACAAAAGCAAAATTTCCGAGCGCGTATATGCGCCCACAGTAGCCAAAGGGTTAGAAAACTGACGATACTTCTTTGAGTAGTAAATAAAGAATTTTGTAATAATAGAATTGTAGAATTATTTGATTTCGATACCTCGCACGCTGTTACATTGCATTAAATTTGATATATTAATTAATATCGATCTTCCAAATTTTATGAAATGGTGACTGAGGCTCACCTCTCGAGTGCAAAGGGTTAATTTCCCCGAATTAGTGAAATTTCTTAAGCCCCAGCGTCAATATAGAATCGCGTAAAAAGAAAAGTGCAAATATTTATCTTGTAAACAAATTTTTATTGTTATAATACCATCGTGTTAGGTTACCTCGCGTCGAAATATCTATCACCGTGTTAGCCTGGGACATGCACGTCAGCTGGCCTTAAAAATGATTGAATACCTGAAAGGACAAGGTGGTGACGATGACCATGAACCGCATCATAAATGTAAATGCACTTATTATTGATTTGTCTAGTTTTGTAATGTAGTCGCAAGCTATGTACACGCCCAGGAGACAAGAATAGATACTAATTAAATAGAGCACGCGAATACACCCATTAAACTACCCCTGTTCCGTCCAGACACGTCCACATAGAGCCAGGTTAAGTTTCAACGTGGAAAATTAGCCAAACAGAGTTCGCATTAATGACCCAAAATGTATAAATAAAAGGTCCGCATAGACTGCTGAAATGTTCCTCGTGTGGCCGTTCGATGAAGCACATTTTTGTGCTAAACGTGTAACTGCGATCATGCGAGACAGACGAAACGTTTCCCCTTGGGAATACCAGATTGTTATTATCACGTATGAGTCGAGAGGACTCGTTGAAACGAACGTAAATCTAGATGTGTGTGTTACCGTATTACTTATTTATAGAACATAATTGAAACTCGTATTTCTAGTCGATGGTTGCTATCATTCGATAAAACCATTCTTCACAAATCGAAAATAATTTCTCCGTTTTTCATAGCAGCCATTTTTCATTGCAGATAGGAGATTAAGATCAATGAAAACGCTGAAACCCGCTTTTTAGTAGGATTTATGAAAATAGAAAAAGGAATAGAAAAATGTAACGTTATTTAATTTTTATAAACAATTTTTTAAGAATTAAAAATAATTGTTGGTCTTATACGAGCACGTTTTCATAGGAAACTGAAAATTAACACTAATCGGCGAATAAAACAGTTGTAAATCATTTTTTGATGTAATTTATGACAATAGAAGAAAGTGGGAGAAATTAAGGTTAAAATATATTACTTATTTGTAAAATGTAACTGAGATTCATATTTCCCGCCAATATTTGATAGAATTCAAGAAAACCATATTTTTCAAATAAAAAATAATTCTTTTCTTGTGGCAGTACCTTTTTGTTACTGCACTGTAAATTGATGTTAATTGGCAGATAAGAAAGTAATAAAACCCTGTTTAGTATAATTCACGAAAGTAGAGAAATTGTTTACAACGTTCAAAGAGGAATTAAGGTTAATAAATTATATTACTTATTTATAAAATGTAACTGAGATTCGTATTTCCCGCCAATATTTGATAGAATTCAAGAAAACCATATTTTTCAAATAAAAAATAATTCTTTTCTTGTAGCAGCACCTTTCTTTACTGCGCTGTAAATTATGTTAATTGACAGATAAAAGAATAATTAAATACTGTTTAGTATGATTCATGAAAATAGGCAAAATGTTTATTACAACAAAATTTATAAATTGTATTAAAATAAAATATTAAAAATAAATTATAAGATACTACAGAAAAGAAGAGAAAAAATTTCTCGATATCCGTATATCGATACATCAGATATATCGATTTACCTTTCTCTTCGAAAAGTTGCTTTCAGATTAGCTTTTAACTAGAAGCGATACTCGAGATATAAATACGTTGGATTTACCGGCTATATTCTAAATACCGCATAATCAATGTATCAGATTAGTGAGTTGAAACAAACGAACGCGTATTCGAGTTCGTAAACATTTCAAAATGACGCGCTTAAAAAATTGCGTGCGGCTACGAACACGGAAGTCCCTGAGATAGTTTAGTAACATTCGAGGTCATCGAATCACACTGATTGCGAGTCAAAGCGAAAAAAGGTGTCATCACTTTCATTAATCGATGTCGTTCGAAAAATACCTTATGTTAACAGGAAATAAGATCGAGCAATAGTGAACTGATTAATGAGAATTGATAATCGCATTTAAATGAATCATTCTGTAATGGAAATTAAAATTTTTAATATTTTTCATTACCTGGTGATTCATCCTGCGATTGCAAATTATTTATAAACCATGTGTTGCATCGAAATACATTTGAAACAATATTTGTATGATTCCAAAAAGGACACGTGCTGCGTATTGTTTCCTATAACGTATTGTTTACGTCATAAATTCTCAAGGTGACTTTAAGTGACTTAAGGGAAACACCATGTATCTATTATTGAAATCAAAAGATTATTCGGTACAGACGTATTAAGATAAATCTGGGAATTACGATAAAAATAGTAAGAACGCCGATAGCGTTAGGTTATGTTCTATGAGGAAAGTTGAAAGATTCAGCTTACTGTGAATCCCCAACACGCGAGAACAGGGAAATACTAGAATATGCGTTAATATTTCAATAAATATCTACCTTTAATTTACCATACCTCTAAAACACAAAATTTTATTTTACACATTTTTTCGTATAGCAAACAGTCAATACGTAATACGAAGTTAAGTTAATTGATTTACCTTGTATAGTCATGAAAAAAAAATTGGTAATGGTTATTTGAGATTTTTTCCAATCAAAATGAATTCAAACATGACTCGGTACAATACCCAATAAAGAACAGTGCAAATAAAATTGTATTTAAACTCACTTTCACAGAAAAATTTTTAATGAAACTTCGATTATTTATTAGTAATATACTTATGAACATAAAGCGAAGTGTTGTGTATTTCGCTTTAAAGATTCGTTTCTCGCGATAACCGACATAGGCACAAAGAACAACTTCAGAAAAGTATCGCAAATATACGACGAAAGCGCGTATTATAACATTAAATCAAGACAGAAAAGTTACATTGATTCAGAAATTGTAATAAATAAAAACAATCAGTATAATCACGCTTAGATTACTCCATTCCGTGGGATTCCACGATTATGTTTTAAAACGTATGCATCGTTCGCATCTGGCCTTTCCAACGACTATCCGGAATGACGACAATGAAATGCTCTCGAGCGAACGAGCGAGCGTGTACCGTTCGAATTTCACGCAGTAAGTGAGCCGATTGGCCAGAGCTTATAGCACCCTCCAATCGCGATGCCGCATACTCGTGACGTCACAGAACGGTATATAATAACGTCGCGCGCCATCGTTCTGGTCAGATCTCGGTTGGCTTTGAAATGAGCGAAACGAGGTAATTTTCGGAGAGTTCTGGCAGCTCGCGCGCCCTTCGGCAGTGAGAGAAGCCGGGTGGTGGTTTTTCTTCGGTTCAAAAGTAAAGAAATAAATTACCGTACAAGTCAATATTCGAATCTAGCGTTGCAGTCTTAACATCAAGAATTTTTCAAACTAGTCATCGAACGTCGTCGTTTGTTGAGTGAATGTTCAAGAGCGAATAACTGAACGCAAATTATACAAAGTGTTTCGTCGATAGTATGAGTTAAAAGGTGGACTGGAATAGCTTACGCAAAGCGTCGAACAAATTTTTGTACGTTGGGTGCTGGTTGATTGAGTTAAAAGAACATTCTAAGTCAACAATTCATATTCATGTGATACTTGCTTCGTAAATGACGAGAGCTTTGCGAGCCTTTGCTGGGATATAACCTGAAAAGGCAAAAGCAGACAGAAAGTGAGAAACAGCGAGGCAGAGAGTAACATAAGAAAAACAGAGAGAGAAAATAGACTGATAAGGAGCAGATTGCTTAACAAATTTTTGTATTTATTTCACGTAAAAACAAACGCTTTCTCCGGTCGTGTTTGCTTTACGTGTCTTTCCTTCGCAAGCCGGTAGAATTCCCGGTTCGTTTGAGAGTCGTCACACAACAGCTTGAAAATTTTTTCGTCAAGTAATAAGAAGCTCTCAAAGCTGTACCTGAGAATAAAAAGAAAAATGGTTGGAAGCAACGGGACTATGATCGCGATTCGGCTTGTCCGTAGTAAGCTGCGAAAACGGGAGGATCATTCGAATGCGGTACATCCGGAAGCAGCCGTAGTTCAAACGGCAATGTCGCCGGTTTCGACGATTGTCGCACCATCTTATCCTGTCGAAGGTTGTTGCACGCAGACGTCAGTGACTACCACATCGACGGATCTGGGAAATGGCACAGCTGTTGAACAGGATAACGTCTATGCTACGGCCAATCCGGCAGATCAATTCGTCTGGCAGTTTCCGCCTCCTTATCCACCGCCTCACACACCGACGCAGTATACGTTGTACAACGACCAGGTTGGTATATACTCTTTTCTTACTTTCTTATTTCCTCTCCTTTTTCTTCTTTTTTCTTCTCCTTTTTTCCTTGTAGTCTCGAAGGAAACGAGGACTACGCGTTTCTTCCTTCTGCCTTCATATTCCTCTTTATATATCAGCTGCACTAACCAGTAGAGCCAGTATTACCAGATTTCACTGGTTTATTCTCTACTTGCCAGGATTACTCGATCATTGTAGCGACTATCGATAATACTTGACTCAAAGGATGTCTGTATGAAATTAACTGCTGTGTGTAAAATGTCGTTTGAATTTGAATTTTTTATTTTAAAAAATGAGAGAAGCTCTTGTGTAATAGAAAATCATTAAGTAAAGCAATATAAATAAGGATTCGAATAGTGATAGCTACGTTGGTTTCGGAGGGTAATAAAAACAGGTTGAACGCCGAACAGTTGGAACTACAGTGACTATATCGCTGTTGCTCTATACTTTCTGTATTCTAGAACTGATCGATCTCGCGTATTACTATTCTTCGTTTGCTTACGTTACGTATGTAGACGGGTAATAATCTATTAAAATTTGTATTTCAACCGGTGAAAATTAGTTTGTATTACCAACTAAAAATTAAATTTCTAAAATACTCGAAAAAAATGGAGCTTCAAACGTATTCTTGCTCATTAACAGTGAAATTAAAAAGTATGAAATTTTTGCTTTAATATCTCACATTTGTTATTTGTTGTTTCAATATTAATTAATATGTATGTATAATATATTTGTAACTTGTGCAACATTATCTTAAATCTTGAAAAGATGTGTCATATACGTTTACTTTATTGTGATCGTTAGACTCACGTGTAACTGAAAAATTTTCTCCAACTTTGTTTAAATAATCATTTCTGAAAATTTACGTGAATCAGTTTATTATCTTCAATTTATCAAATATTCGTGTGAGTTTGACAAACAAACATTCAAAGGAAAAGTCTTATAATTTTACGTTTGACATTTAGGTTACGAATACAATTACATGTATATACTACACACGTACGTGTAGATATATCTCGATAACGAGATTTCGAACAGAGCGCCACTAGAATTTTATTTATCTTCATTACCCGTTGCACGAAATAATTCATTTAAATTTACAAGCCATATTACGCTACCGATGTATATTAATAATTTCGAGACAGCTCCCGTCATTTGCTAAAATTTAGATTCATAAAGTTATGAAAGCTTGTGCAACAGTTATTTATAATAATGCATCGACTATACATAATATATTGTAACTGAAAAGACATATCTGGTAACACTCCAGGATATACTTGGTGATGGTAAGACCTTTGAAAATTGTAGTTATTAATAATAGTCGATGGCGCTATCGATTGTCCAAGGACGAGAGGCATACGAGTAGACGGCCTGGCAAACGAGTTGTAAGGTCGAGGCTCAGTCCGAGGCTCGCCGCCAGAAAAATCCCAAACAATCGGCAACGTTGCCGCGTCTACTCTGCTTTGTTGCCGTTATGACACGTATGTTTCAGTTTCATGCTCCACTTACCGGTAAATCTCTACTGCTTTCCCATATATCTTCGCTAGTTTTTCAACTATTCTTATTATCTACTCTATTACGTATTTTCTTCCAGAATAGACATAATATCCCTATATTTAACCTCGAGTTGCGTTTCAATTTAAACTCTGCAATCCGTCTATCCGTCTATCTTCGTACATATGTTTTTCGAACCACGAATATATATCTCAACGGAGATGTTAATCTAATCGTTCATTATCTGGACAATCAAAATGACATAAGTTTCCATGGTTGTGATGTAAGATACGCATGACGTAGTTTTCTTATGCTCGATTAAAAACGTATATATTCGATGTAAGCCTGTTCTTTGCGGAAGTCAGATAAGATTGAGCTTTTTCAAGTTTTATTTGCTACGTCACACGATTATAATTCTGCGAAACACGCTGCGGACATTCGACAAACTTCACGTGTTTCGATAGGAGTCTATCGATGCGTATCTGAAAAATCGAGTGGTCGAGTTCGACCGTCGGGGTACATTTGAAATAATTTGAAATACGGCTGGTAATAATGGCAGAATTTTACTTCGCACGTGTATTGCGATCATCGTATTCGCTAATTTGTAATGGCGGTACGTAACGTCCTCGTTCGTGTATTTCATATATACATAGTTAATACGAGGAAAAGCATCTCGATATCTGTACTCGTTGACCAATGTAACTGCAGGCGTCATTCATTATTGTCCTTAATCCCGCATTTACCGTGTACATTTTATGCAACTTGGGATTTTCGTATAATGTTACATGGTAGAATAATTCATATGTTTATATTTAAACTTTATTTCAGTTGTTTCAAAAACATTTTGCTAGGTTAGGTAACGTATCTTTTATTAAACATTTAAATATTTAGAACGATATCGCGTGTGGTTCTACTATTGGTCTCGATGTATATATACAGATAGCGCCACTCGATTAAAAATTCCCTGGAAAATTATTTTATGGGATACATTTTAGTTTTAAAAATATGTCTATTCTGTTAGACATTTTTTTTTTTTATTTCAATTAAAATTCGAAGTAGTCTACTTGTACTTCTACCATTTGTCTCACTATCTATATAAATAGGATAAATAGGATCGATATAAATAGGATTATTTGTCTAAAAATTCCCTAGAAAATTATTTTATAGGATACGTTCTAGTTTCAAATAATACGTTTATTCCGTCACACATTTTATTTTTTATTTAAATTAAAATTCAAAGTAACATTTCTGCTTGTCCTGCTTTTTTCATTTGTCTCGATATCTATATAGATAGCGCCACTCGATTAAAAATTCCCCAGAAAATTATTTTATAGGATACATTCTAGTTTTAAAAATACGTCTATTTTGTTGAATATTTCATTTTTTATTTAAATTAAAATTGAAAGTAACGTTTCTACTCGTGCCTCTACCATTTGTCTCGATATTTATACAAATACAGTTATTCATCTAAAAATTCCCTAGAAAATTATTTTATAAGATACGCCCTAGTTTTAAAGATATTTTTATTCTGTTAGACTCCTTATTTTCTTTTATTAAAAATTTAAAACGATGTTTTTACTTCTGCTTCTATTATTGGTTTCGATATTTATATAAATTGTCCTATTTGATAAAAAATTTCCCAAAAAATCGTTTTTCAGAGAAAGTTTCGGTTTTAAACATATTCCTATCGTATTAGTCATTTTATATTTTATTGAACACTTAAAACAATATTTCTACTTGTGCTTCTACTATCGATCTCAATGTGTACACAAATTCTGTTATTTGATACAAAATTTCCCAGAAAACCATTTTTTAAAATACGTTTCTCCTTTAAAAATATTTCTACCATTCGCCTCAACGTCTATACATATAAATATTGCCTTTTGGGATAAAAGACTCAAAAAAACTTGTTTTATTAACTACGTTTCAGTTATTTTAAGGATACTTTCATTCTATTAGCCATTTTATTTTCTATTAAACACCTAAAGCAATGTTTCTGTTCAAATTTCTGCAATTCGACATAACGTCTCTATAAATTCCATTATTCTATTAAACATTTCTCAAAAAATTAATTTCCAGAATACACTTCGGTTGTTTGATTTTTATTTTATTTTTACTTTTATTCTGTTAGATATTTTAGTTTTTATTCTTTTATATATTTTAGTTTTTATTCTTTTATTTATTATTTAATTTATTATTATTTCATTATTATTTCCGTTCCATTAGATACCTTATTTTTGATATAAAATAATATTATTCAATAATAATATCAATATTTGCATCCAAGAAGGATTTTTAAAGTTACGAAAAGAATATATTTCGTAACTTAAAGAATATTACTCGATAAATGTATAAAACGGCATTAATATTGAGAAACAGTAAATTATTTAGTATAATTTAATAATATTATTATTTTATTACTATTTCTGGTCTGTTAGATATCTTATTTTTTATATTAATATAATAATTTTATATAATTATATAATATTATATCCATTACTACTATTGCTTCGTTTGATATCTTATTTTTCATATAAAATAATATTTCAGCTCGAACTTTCCTGTCATTGGCCACAGTAATTCGCAAGTATCTGTACAAGCTCCATTACTCGATTAAAACTGCCGGAGAAAATGATCTTACGGGATACGGTTGCTCGTACTGTACATATAGTCCACCATGTTGACTTTACACTGTTATTGACGGCTATTGGTCAATCACGCACACGTAGTGTCGCGACGTTGAATTTTCCATCTGGCAAACCGCGAAAGCCACTATGTTTGGTGTTTTGAACGCATAGGCGCACCTAAAAACCCGCTTTTACCCCTCGGGCTGGCTCTAAATTTAGCGTAGGTGGGCGGCCACGACCGTTTGCCAAGCAGCAACAGGACTTCGGCGCAGGGTGCAGCTGTCTTGTAGACAGCAAAATAATGCGTCTCTCCTTGACGGTATTGGCAATATTCCTGCGATTCTGTTGCCATGCTTCGTCGAACCGTTCCACGATATTTTCATTCCTGACCTTTTTCTGTCTTTCGCGATTCGTCTCTAAACGTGCATCCGCGAGAATTTTAGTCCCTGCCCACGTATACATATCTGGTCGTCTACCTCTGTCCAACGGTTTTCCTGTTTGCCTCCTCGTAATATGTAGTTTCTCTGTCTCGCTCCTCGGCTCTGGACCCTGTCGGTCGGTTTCATAACATCGCACCCGGATACACGACGTATCCTGCTTTTTCAGTCGAGTCGACGCTCTCCGCTATTTCCATGCTTCATAGATCGCTCTAATCGTATCGTATTATGTATATCGTAAGTCGTAATTCTCGCGTAGCCTTACTTCGTTACCCGTCTATACCTAACCGTGCTATTACACACATTTTGCGAGCCGAGAAATATCTGAAAATCGAAGATAATTTATTATCGCGACAATGAACGATTTAGTCACCGAGTGTAGATGCTGTAGTGTACACAGCGCGATGAAGCATAGGTTGGCAATACTGAATGAGATATAATACCGTACGATACACTGCGTTTTGAATGTTCGTTGAAAGTTTATTTAAGCTTCCTCTCATGGAATATTAAAATTATGTGTATAATATAATTATAATATGTAATATAATATAATTTTAATATAATATAATCGATATTATTGTAAATAATATCGATGTAATATTGGCTAGATACCGAGTGATATTTTTTTAACAGATAGTAGATTGGAAAATTGTTTAATAATTTTGTAAAGTTTCAAATTATGTTAGCTACGATGATATGAAAAAAAAGACTGAGAATATATAATAAAATGATATTAAAATTGCATTTTCACTCAAATTATGTTGTTAAACAAAAGAATTGGATAATCTCTTAATTATGTAACTTCGTGACGAGAAACTTCTTTTGAAAACGAATACTAATTCCAAGTTGCTGAAAATGTTATTCGCGTTATTATACTTCATTATGACGATGTAGTTAAAAGAACAAAACCTCGATGAGAATATCTTCTTTTATTAGGACACGATACAAAATAGTCTTCACCACACTGTTTCATAATCGTTAATAAATTTTATCGATAACATTCCTGTCCTAACCTATAAAAATTAATATCCTCTAAAACAAATCATAAAAGACAGGAATATTCATACAGTAAATACATTAAGATATATTAATTACTGAAACAGCAAGTTTATTACATAAAACAGTTTATGCGAGTATTTTTGTATTGAAGAAAAATCCACAAGAATATATTTTATTATTTTTATATTAACATTTTTAATAATTTAACATTTCAATATTATTATTTGATTTAATAAAATAGTAATAAAAAAAATATTCTGATAAACAGAATGGAATAAATAATGGCTTCCCTAAATTGAAAACAAAAATCTTTGTATATTTAATTGTCACATAGAATATTTATTTGATCATGTGGTATATATTAGTGAAACGTTTATTTTAAGATTTTCTACTGGTTAGTGCATTAGACAATTCAAAACGAAACCCTGAAGTAGATACAAAAAGGAAAAGAAAATTTAAGTTGTATTTAATTGTACAAATTGTAAGATGATATGTAATAATCGCATGTATTTAACTCCATTTATTATATTTCAGGATACTCTTGTACACGCATTACCGTCGGATAGGCCTGGATTTGCAAAGGGCTTCCGTAAGAATATCGGGGGGCGCTGGCGTCGCTTGGTAAAAAGGAAGCCGGAGTCGGAGACTTGTGCCATTCCTCCTGAATTGAAGGATCAACTAAAAACAATTTACGTCTATTGACGATCAGCGTTAATGCGCCGTTGTCTGTATTTTTATAAACTTTCCTCGGTAATCGATGCTTTCCTGTTTGTAAGATAATAATTATGTCGACAAAGATGGACACGGTACGAGTGATGATGGGAAAAGGAAACGAACGCGCAATGGGATAGTTAATAAAAAAAAAAAGAAAGACATAGGGAAGTAGTCTCAAAAAGGTCGCAACAATTGAATTTGTATAAACAAAAACAAAAATACCGGATAGTTTGTAATTTTTAGTAGGAAATTTGGAAAAAGAATAAAATTATTTATACTTCTCACGAAACATATCAAAAAGTGCCTGAAAATACCGTTTCAGAGATATTAAAAACATAGATAGGTATAGACACAAAATTATGTTTTTCTGATATGGAATATTTTTGCAAAAATACTTGAAGTAATGATAATCTGAATCACGATTGCATAAAATGTAGCAATATTTACAAAGATATATATAAAAGAAAAGAAATAATTTTATTACCATAGATATTGTGATGTTTTATCGTTGGGTATCATTAAAAACAAAAAAAAACAAAAAAACAAAAAAAATAAAATAATGCCTGCGATGTCATGAACAAAACGAAAGAAAATTTGAAAACAGCTGTCGCGCGTACCTAATTACTCGGCTATGCGAAAGATTAAAAGCCACTAGGCTTTGACACGTAGGACAATGGCGTCAAGAACTCTATGAGACTGAAACGTAAAGAGTACGACAACACGAGTTACCTCGTAGCTTTTCTTGAATACGTTTTTTCATGAATAATGCAACAAATCATTTCGAATCACTAGTATTAATGTATACCTGAAATCTTATATTCATCAGAATTGCCGAAACTTTTTCTTCTACACCGTTTTTGGCAGCTCTGTTGTATGTGTACATAGATGTATAAAGCAGTAAAAGTATGAACTACTTGTAATTCTTGTAATGGTCGATCGTTGAAATAAAATCCCGAGATTTCCTTTATACGTGCAATCTAAAAGCTTGGTATGTTATACAGGAAACGAGCGGGGGCGAAAGAATGCTAGTTAAAAGTTACGCTCGACCAAAATCATTTCCTAATCTTTCAAAATGGAAATGCGTAGCATTTCGTATACACTTGTAACATAGGCCAATTTAAGATTCTTAATATTATTCAACAGCTCATATTGAGCTCACACTATATTCTAATATGGTATTTTAATTGTATTGTTGTATCAAGCAATACTTTGTCTTGAAACGTGGTAAAAAAAATTTAATTGATTGAACAAACAAACGATTATGTGTATAACATTGTGCCACGTTTTATATTAGCCAAACTATTTGATTTTATGTTAAACGTTATCTTTTTTTTGCACTTATAGTTTTATGCGGTAAAATTGATAATTTATATCGAGAATAAAATAAACGAAAATAATATATACACATATTTAAAAGAAAAAAAAAGAGTTATTTCAATAAATTGTAACGAATAAATTGCAATCAACGTTCCTTTACGGCTTGATCTTTTATTTCTTTATTGTAATTTTCTAGAATGTAAATATATTATTGAATTGTTTGTTTATCATGAATGTGATGGTATAATGTTTAAACGCGATACGAATAGTTTAAGGATCAATAACGTGCCTACGATTTTTATAAAAATGAAATAATGATGGAACTGCGTCCATCACCTAGTCACTTGATAATTATTGTTCAAAACTTGTATTGTAAACTTTTTGCCGCAGCTTGGATCTTTCCTCGTGAATACCTGTCTGAATACAACAATATCAAATAAAGTATTCAAAAGAGTTTAATAATTTTGTAAAGTTTCAAATTATGTTAGCTACGATGATATGAAAAAAAAGACTGAGAATATATAATAAAATGATATTAAAATTGCATTTTCACTCAAATTATGTTGTTAAACAAAAGAATTGGATAATCTCTTAATTATGTAACTTCGTGACGAGAAACTTCTTTTGAAAACGAATACTAATTCCAAGTTGCTGAAAATGTTATTCGCGTTATTATACTTCATTATGACGATGTAGTTAAAAGAACAAAACCTCGATGAGAATATCTTCTTTTATTAGGACACGATACAAAATAGTCTTCACCACACTGTTTCATAATCGTTAATAAATTTTATCGATAACATTCCTGTCCTAACCTATAAAAATTAATATCCTCTAAAACAAATCATAAAAGACAGGAATATTCATACAGTAAATACATTAAGATATATTAATTACTGAAACAGCAAGTTTATTACATAAAACAGTTTATGCGAGTATTTTTGTATTGAAGAAAAATCCACAAGAATATATTTTATTATTTTTATATTAACATTTTTAATAATTTAACATTTCAATATTATTATTTGATTTAATAAAATAGTAATAAAAAAAATATTCTGATAAACAGAATGGAATAAATAATGGCTTCCCTAAATTGAAAACAAAAATCTTTGTATATTTAATTGTCACATAGAATATTTATTTGATCATGTGGTATATATTAGTGAAACGTTTATTTTAAGATTTTCTACTGGTTAGTGCATTAGACAATTCAAAACGAAACCCTGAAGTAGATACAAAAAGGAAAAGAAAATTTAAGTTGTATTTAATTGTACAAATTGTAAGATGATATGTAATAATCGCATGTATTTAACTCCATTTATTATATTTCAGGATACTCTTGTACACGCATTACCGTCGGATAGGCCTGGATTTGCAAAGGGCTTCCGTAAGAATATCGGGGGGCGCTGGCGTCGCTTGGTAAAAAGGAAGCCGGAGTCGGAGACTTGTGCCATTCCTCCTGAATTGAAGGATCAACTAAAAACAATTTACGTCTATTGACGATCAGCGTTAATGCGCCGTTGTCTGTATTTTTATAAACTTTCCTCGGTAATCGATGCTTTCCTGTTTGTAAGATAATAATTATGTCGACAAAGATGGACACGGTACGAGTGATGATGGGAAAAGGAAACGAACGCGCAATGGGATAGTTAATAAAAAAAAAAAGAAAGACATAGGGAAGTAGTCTCAAAAAGGTCGCAACAATTGAATTTGTATAAACAAAAACAAAAATACCGGATAGTTTGTAATTTTTAGTAGGAAATTTGGAAAAAGAATAAAATTATTTATACTTCTCACGAAACATATCAAAAAGTGCCTGAAAATACCGTTTCAGAGATATTAAAAACATAGATAGGTATAGACACAAAATTATGTTTTTCTGATATGGAATATTTTTGCAAAAATACTTGAAGTAATGATAATCTGAATCACGATTGCATAAAATGTAGCAATATTTACAAAGATATATATAAAAGAAAAGAAATAATTTTATTACCATAGATATTGTGATGTTTTATCGTTGGGTATCATTAAAAACAAAAAAAAACAAAAAAACAAAAAAAATAAAATAATGCCTGCGATGTCATGAACAAAACGAAAGAAAATTTGAAAACAGCTGTCGCGCGTACCTAATTACTCGGCTATGCGAAAGATTAAAAGCCACTAGGCTTTGACACGTAGGACAATGGCGTCAAGAACTCTATGAGACTGAAACGTAAAGAGTACGACAACACGAGTTACCTCGTAGCTTTTCTTGAATACGTTTTTTCATGAATAATGCAACAAATCATTTCGAATCACTAGTATTAATGTATACCTGAAATCTTATATTCATCAGAATTGCCGAAACTTTTTCTTCTACACCGTTTTTGGCAGCTCTGTTGTATGTGTACATAGATGTATAAAGCAGTAAAAGTATGAACTACTTGTAATTCTTGTAATGGTCGATCGTTGAAATAAAATCCCGAGATTTCCTTTATACGTGCAATCTAAAAGCTTGGTATGTTATACAGGAAACGAGCGGGGGCGAAAGAATGCTAGTTAAAAGTTACGCTCGACCAAAATCATTTCCTAATCTTTCAAAATGGAAATGCGTAGCATTTCGTATACACTTGTAACATAGGCCAATTTAAGATTCTTAATATTATTCAACAGCTCATATTGAGCTCACACTATATTCTAATATGGTATTTTAATTGTATTGTTGTATCAAGCAATACTTTGTCTTGAAACGTGGTAAAAAAAATTTAATTGATTGAACAAACAAACGATTATGTGTATAACATTGTGCCACGTTTTATATTAGCCAAACTATTTGATTTTATGTTAAACGTTATCTTTTTTTTGCACTTATAGTTTTATGCGGTAAAATTGATAATTTATATCGAGAATAAAATAAACGAAAATAATATATACACATATTTAAAAGAAAAAAAAAGAGTTATTTCAATAAATTGTAACGAATAAATTGCAATCAACGTTCCTTTACGGCTTGATCTTTTATTTCTTTATTGTAATTTTCTAGAATGTAAATATATTATTGAATTGTTTGTTTATCATGAATGTGATGGTATAATGTTTAAACGCGATACGAATAGTTTAAGGATCAATAACGTGCCTACGATTTTTATAAAAATGAAATAATGATGGAACTGCGTCCATCACCTAGTCACTTGATAATTATTGTTCAAAACTTGTATTGTAAACTTTTTGCCGCAGCTTGGATCTTTCCTCGTGAATACCTGTCTGAATACAACAATATCAAATAAAGTATTCAAAAGGATATATATTGCAAATATACTTATTTTCCGTCACTTTCCTTTATTATTACTATTACATCTGTAACTAACCCATAATAAATCAAGTAAATTTTATAAATATTGATATACGTATAAAGCTAACATAAACCGAACTATTTAACAAATTCAAATTTTTGCTTTTTTCCTACTTTTTATTATTACAACATAAAGTAAATGTCGATGGTAACAATTAAAACAAGAAAATTCTACATAAATCTATTAAAATACTTATAAATATATAATTTCATTTACCTCCATTGCTAAAATAGAAATATTAAGAAAAATTTAGTATTTTATACTTCGAATTATTTTATAACGATAACAGAAATTAGCATTCTGTAAAAAGAATTATGATAGAGATTAATTTGAATTAATAAATTGTTTAGTAAAAACTTTTTTTATTAACATAAATCACTTATAATATGTTAATTTTTATTATACATGTAAAATAATAAATAGAATACGATATTTGTATTCAAAACGACGCATATGTATATATACTATAATTTTGAAGTACGCAAGTACTTAATATATATATTTGCACGATTGTATATATATTTCATTGAACATCTACTGTCCTTATCATGTATACATTTGTAACCGAAAAAGATTTTCACGAATAATTTCGTAACTGAAAGAATACTATTTGATAAATGTATAAAACGGCATTAATATTGGGAAACAGTAAGTTATTGTAGTATAATTTAGTAATATTATCAGTATATAGTTTTCTATACGTATAGTATAATAATTATACAGATAGAGGTTAGGTTTAATGTTATTATTTTTATAAACGATATTGTCAAACATATTCATGATTAAGTTAATATCAATTGAAAACTTATTCGTTATAAACAGTGTAAATATTCTTATTTATACTTTAACGTAATATATACTGAAGTAATGTTTCTTTCATACATTCTTATTATAAATATATTAGTAATTGTAAAATACTTTATAATCGTTATTAAATATTATAATATGACCATTACATCAATTAGTTAAATTAATGTAACTAGTACAAAAATACAAAATAATATAAATATTCAAGTTGTATAAATCTTAATATGTAAAAAAATTTTCCAAAAATGTTTAAAATTTATTTTAATCTTTGCTTTTACCATTTTTTGGTATACTACTTTGCTACTTTACGAATATAGTATGAGTATAATTACTTGTAGGCTATAGGAGTACATCAATATTACCGCGAAATATGTGTAGTATAATACAAAATAATCCAATAGAAACCTCAATAAGAACAAAGTTGACAGATTTTTTAAATCCATCATATATTGAAGTAATAAATGAGTCATACATGCATAACGTTCCTAAAGGATCAGAAACACACTTTAAAGTAATTGTTGTTTCTGATATGTTTAAAGATAAACCACTTATTAAGGTAAGAATTTTATAATTAACAAAATTTAAAATAAACTGTTTAACATAAAAAACTTTGTATAATTTTTAAATTATAATAATTGATTATAGTTTTAAACTGTACTTAAATTTTAACTTGTGAGTAATTTTTTATAAAATTCTGATATATATAAAAGTATAATTTCATTGATTTAGCGCCATCGAATGGTAAATGAATTATTGCAAGCAGAATTAGAAGGTGGTGTACATGCATTATCAATTTTAGTAAGTATTATTGTAAAAGTAATTTTATGTAATATAAGAACTTTAGTATAGTGAAATTTAAAAATTTATTTACAAAGGCAAAAACACCTGATCAATGGAACGACAAAAATAATGTAACTCCAAGTCCAGTTTGTAGAGGTGGTTTTGGAAGATGAACCTTTGATGTTCAAAGGTTGCATAATTATATCAATATTTGAATCATGTACATAGTTACTACCTCTATTTAAACATATTTCCCAAGGTCCTAATTTAATTCTATTTAAAAGATGTATAACAATTAAGGAAATTAAAATAATATAATTGTGAACATGTAAATTCACATCAGTATATAATTTTTAATGATATGTAATTAAAACTGAAAAATAATTAAAAAAATAAAAAGATACATTAATGTCATAAAGCAAAAGTATCCAGTCTTAATTTTCCCTCATTTTCAGTGAAATAAAGTATATCAGCCATAGATTGTTCTGCTATTGCTTCCTCTGCTCTATCATGCACCTGTAAAATGTATATAATTGATGAAATTTGTATTGCTTTATCTTTATTATTGCAATACATACCCCTCTAAATGAAATATCTGTAGGTGGACATTTAAAGTTGGGTCCAAAATTAACAGAAACCGTAGCACTTTTATGGATCGAGACTGTAGGATAATAAGCTCCTTTGTTAATATCAACAAATGCTTCTCCTTGATTTATACCATTTTTATAAAATATAATTTTACTTCCTTGTACTGGTTTTAGAGCTTTAAGTGCTTCAGGTACTTGATCTTTTTCTTCATAATAAAGGTGACTTTTAAACTTTACTAGGGGCTAATTTATCAACATTAACTTATGAACCACATATGAAAATATAATAAATAAATCCATATTTTTTCTTACTCGATCCTTATAGGTGTTTGGTAAATGTGTAGCATCATGTGTATCAGGTAAAATTACCAAAAATCCTAATGTATCACCTTCTCCATATCCATTATTATAATGTTTACCTCTACTTTCATGAAATCTTGTACCTTTTCTGTTAATAATTATAATAATATATTTATAACGAATATCGTTTTTTATTTAAATTGTTTTATTAGAATATTTGAACTAAACTGTACCTAGATCTCCAAGAGTATCCAAATTTGTCATAACCCAGTGGAGCTTGTAAATTAGCATATTCTTGACCCCATCCTAGTCTTGTAGCTGATCCTTCTGGCATTTCCTCAATAGTTGCTTCCCAATACCATGTACCTCTACTTACGTCTGAGTAATAAGCAAACCATGTAAATAATATATAAAGTCCAAAAAAATATTTTATTTCTTAATGATTTAATTCATATTGATTGATGTAATTTAAAAGCTTTCAATGATGTAGGTCACAATTTTGACATACTATGAGTTGCTCTGACCATGCAATAGCCTTTTTCTCCAGTGACTGCCAGTCTATCTTCTGAAACTCTAAGTTGTGGTGCTCGATCATGCAAAGCAAGTAAAACTGTGCTTGGACTCAAAGCTCTGTATAACCAACCAGGAATAGGTTTTCCAGCCCAATCACTACTTTCATCAAATTCCTGTCAAATAATTCTAAATGTCATAATATCTCAAAAATATATAATATGCATCATAATTACAAACCTGTCTGAAAGGCGCATGAGGATCAGGTTCAGCAAGAATATAACGATAACCATCTTTATTAAAAGGATGTTCAAGGGGATACCCATGAGCTGGTAATTTAGGAGCTGTCATATCAGAACCCCTACCCTTTTTCCCAGGCCCTGTACTTGCTCCTTCTCCAGGAAACTTACGTTTTGCATTGCGACCACGGAAACCTCCACTAAGTGGTACTGTATATGCCATAGTTATGTTTATTAATTATATACTATGAATTTCAATACATCATTGTTCAGATATAAAATATTACAAAGATAAAATATGATTGTGTATAATTTTAAGTTACTTTTTCTAATTAAAGCTAATAATTCATAGTACAATAATTTTTTAATTGTACGTTAAAAACAAATCACAGTGTGCAATTTATTAAATAACTTAACCTATTTAAGTCATAGACATTCTATGATTAAGCAGGTTGTTGCAAGATATCATGATACTGATTAATATCTTGATAAGATAAGAAGTAACTAAAACAAAAAAGAAAAACTAACTACTACAAATCTAAAGCTAAAAATAGATATGAATACATTACTAGTAATCAAATTATGCATTAATTTAACATAAAGTACACACAAATAATTTTACATACTTTCAAAATAACAATAATTGTAATATTAATTAAATACATTTATTAATTTAACTGCATTTTTTAGATTAACATTTAAATTTAAAATCTAAATTGAAATAATATTACATTATAATTGATTCATAACTATACTTACCAACATGCTGAACACCCATTTCAGTTACTTTTAAATGACCACCTTTAATCATTGCTTCATAATTTGGCTTAATCAATTGAAGGTCAGAACATATTAGTCCAAATAACTGTCCATCTGAACTGTTTTCATCAATAGTAAATAATGTTCCAACATCTTTTAACAGTGCTCTATGTATCTATGTTAAAACATTAGTTACTTTTGTTTTTGTATGTAAAATAATCTTTAGGTAATTGTAAAGAATAAAATTTATAATATTAAATTTGATACTGCATACAATAATTAAATGATTTTAATTTACATATATGTTTAACTATAAATTACTATAAATTTTCTTACTTTACTTGCTATTTCTTTTTTCTTAATTTATTTATCACAAATAAAAGTGCAAAAAAATTTGTACAGAAAATACAGTAGAAAAGTATATAAAAAGGATTTATATGTAATCATGCAGGATGTTAAAAAAAGAGTCTAAGACATTAAACATTTTTAATACTTACCAAGAATAGGAAAAGGTATTTAGTTAGTACATGTCCTAAATTCAATCCTAGTTTAAAATGTAGTTTAAAATGTAACATGTTAAATGGAAATAAAGTAATTGATCTAGAAATAAATTAATTAATAAAATCTAAGAAAAATTGTATTATAACAGAAAATTATTGTTGACATTAATAATAAAATTATAGTGAAATACAAAAATTTAATTTTACTTTTACAAGAAGTATTTAATATATTTTCCATTGAAATACAAGATAATTACAAGTATTCTTGCCTTGTTTCATATAGTTTCATATGTATTCCTTATTCGATGTTTAAATTTTATTACATTACTTATTGTGAATAAGTATAGTAAACTCTATAAGTATTCTAAAATTATGTTTTATGTTGAAAGAATTAATTTTAGGTCCTATATTGATTAAATATGTTTATCTCTCTTAATAGGTATTATAAATTCTTAAGGTCTTAGATCCTTTTTTTAACACCATGTATAATACATTGTGAAACAAAGGATTAATTTAACTCCTTGTAAAAATTTTCATTTGATTAAATACGTAATTTACATATAAATTAGATAAATCTTACATTTCTTTCTATAATTATATACAATGAAATATATGTCAGTGATGATCATCAGTTACTTACCGTTGCATGCCAAGATTGAGTTACTCTGCGTGGCATTGTAGTCATGCTATCCCAGTGACATTCAATGAAAGAAATAATATCTTTATCTTTATGAAAAAATGTTTTTTGTTCATTATCTTTCTGAGTCATTTGTAATAAATTTGCTATTGCTGTTACACACATTTGTGGAAATGCTAGAAAAATTACTCTTTTTAATTAAATTTTAAATGTTATATCGCACGATATAATTACTATTTAATTATATTCTTACGTGCTTGGTTTTTTTTGAAACTTTCTAAACCAGTCGGAGAACAATTTTTGCACATAAATATGTAATTCATCATAAAGGGTACTAATTTACCAAGTTGGTATCCAATGCATGATTCATGAAACCATCTTGAACAACTAGCACACAATAACTCTATAATATTAAGATTTCTTTCTTTTCCACTAAAATGGTATAAATTTATAAGTTACCGATACTTTTTCATCGATTTTAGCATAAACTTTAAATAAATTACCAATAACAATTTCCACTCTCATTGTTATTAGCTCGACCATTAGGTTTCTCAGTATTTTCTTCTGGTTTATGTTTTTGTTTACTTTTATCATCACTTTTTGTTTTCATCTTATCTTCAATAGATTCAATTTGTGTTCCATCTACTTTATCGATTGGGCTACAAAAAGTATATTTATATTAAACTATGTAACTGATAAAGCACCATAATAGCACATAACCTCAAAAATATTCCTTTTCATTATACGAACTTTAAATAAATATTTCTAAATTAAATTAAAGGTACTAACAATTTATTATTATTCACGTGATTCTTGTATATATTATATATACAACTATAAGCGGCTTATAAATACCTTTCGGCTTTTTCTTCTGACATTTTTGATTTTATATTTTTCTATTATTTTTAAACTAATAATGTTTTGCTTTATCTAAATTTTTCGTTGTAGTAATATACAGTAATATATGTATAAAGCATACCCAATTATACATGTTTTTTTTCAATTCACTATTTGTTTCCACGACATAAATTACTTTTCAAAGCTTGGTTTTTAACTATGTGCCGACTGTTCACAACCATTGATTGGATACTACGGAGATTCGGTATCACATACATATCTTTCATGCATGGGATATGCAAATAGTTTATTTACGATAAAAGTCATGCAAAATGATAAACGTCATTATTATTTGTTTCATATTTTGAAAATGATATATATATTTATACAAAATTATAATTTAGTCTAATCATAAATATAAAGTAATGAAAATAATTTTTACATGTAATACGAAATATTTTATTTTTATGAAGCTAAGACTATAATTTTATAATTTATTATATTATTACTATTATTAATAGATAATATTTATTAGACCAAATTGAAAAATTCACCTATTAGGTATAAGAAATATAACATTAACATAATTATTTATAGGTTTATATGCAATACTAGCAATTTAGTTTACAAGTTTGAATAGGAACCATACATTTTTTTTCTTATGAGTACATTTTCTGTATTTGTACGCTTATTACATTAGAGCACTATATATCGTATAATTAAAAATTATTCAATCAAATTGTGTCAATATATGAAGTAAAAATTATGCAGATATTTCTATATCTTGTACCATAAAAAATAAAAAAGGAAGAAGATGAAATAAATTGAATACATTTATTTTAATTATACTTGATATTTGAAATCATTGAAATATTTTACCGGTTGACCATTTTCCTATCAAAAAAAAGGAAATACAAGTTTACTTAATTTTCCATCTTATAATCGTGCTGTTTGTATATAAAGTTGATTTTTCTTTTAGTTTAGAAAGTCATATCCTTGTTTAAATCGCATAAAATTATATAAAACTCACTTTATGTATATAGTAATCTTTCTTATATTTTCATTATTATACAACCATGAAATCAAATTCGTGCTATATAATAAAATTTTTATTCTTCATCTATTTATCTTCAAATTTATTTTTATTCATTTATTAATGTAACAATTAGCAATGTTCGTTTATTTTTTCATATTTTATTTGTTTACAAGCAGCTACGAGCAAAAGTCTCTACAAAATATTTAAGGATATGAACTATCGATTATTAGTTAATTTTAATTTTTATAAGTAATTGTACTTTATAATTGAACTTAATATAGTAGATGTTATTATAAAATATGTAATAGATGTTAACATTTTGTTTTGAAATATAAATTAACAGACTACTACAATTTATGACAATTACGTATATCGAAAATAATAAGTTTCGAAAGATTTCTTTTTAAATAACCTTGAAAATGAAAAAAATCTAATTACCTGGCAAAAACAAGAATTCTATTATAAAATATTTAAGAGGAACAAGGTATGAAAAGTTAACAAAGAAATAGGATTATAAACTCATGACAAATTACTACAAAAAATTAGATTTTAGGTTACAAAAATTGGTTACTGAAATATTTGAAGAATTTTACTAACAAACGCGTAATAAATTAATTTCGTCGATATTCAATAAAAACTTTAAAATGTAAATGTAATCACGATTATTTGACGAAATTTTAAGAAAAATTTCCTTTTGCTTAAGTATCCCTACCATATTCGTTAAAAAAGTTTACAAAATCGAAGATGAGAAAAATCCACTAAAGATACGAATAGCAACTGTTCTAAATATAATATCCATATATAAACCGTTAAGTAGAAGACCAAATATGAAGTATAATTTAAAGTAGAAGAAAAGGTAGGTAACGATATCACAAACTGAATCATTTAGTGAGTTCAAAGTTGCTATGACAGGGGTTGGATCTGTTTTGGCGCAGCGATGTTCGATGTGGCGTCCTCTGATGGCAAGCTCTGTTAGTAGAGCACGAGAAATGGTGGGGAATAGAGTGTAGCAACGGAGCGTGCGTCTACGTCAGGAAAAGCTCTGAGCTTATTGGTCCCGGTCCATTGTTGCGTATTGATTGCTGCGGAGCGGTGGTATGGTCGTTGGGACACTCGGTCGTCCTCATCGCCGTCGTCGTCGTCGTCGTCGTCGGTGGTACAGTCGAGTAGGTTAAGAAAGCGGGACACGCGTACAGATAGATCAGTTTTCCGTGTCGTTGTGATCGAAAGCGCGTTTCGTCGCGTACGATCCATGGATCTGGGTTTACTATATAATATTTACACGTAAAATACAAGTATATATACATATTATATACGTATTTGTTCATATATAATTACACGTACAAACACACATACATACAGTCACTTGCACACACATACCCACACACATATACGCGCACACTTGTAAGTACATACGCGCGCGCGCGCGCGAAACAAATACACTTACAAACATAGAAACACATACACGATTCAAATAAAAATCATTTGCATATATGTGCATATATATACATTCACACGCATATACGCGCGCGCGCTCACATTCACATCATACGTGTCCATAAACATTTACTTATAGGTATATACACACGCGCGCGCGCGCGCGTACACGTATACCGACACACACATCGTACACGCACACTTACCTATAGATATTAAATACGGGACAAATACAAGTTACATGCACGAACACGTTTGTGTGCACACATAGGGAATACGACATAGACACAAATCAAGCTAAATACAAATTCACACGCGCACACACAGTCAGACATAGACCACACGCACGCACGTATGTGTATATACGTGGACGCACGTGTATGTATATATCATCATAGTGGTGTCAGTGGGTTGTTTTCTTGTTTTCTGTTTCTCCCCCTTTCGAGATTGGAACTACCTGCAGCATCAGCGGCGGCGGCGGCGGCATCAGCTGCCGCCGAGCGTGTCGAGACCGACTTCTACTGATCCTCGGTCACGATAAACTTGGTGGATAGTTCTCGAAAGATAGTGGCGAATTCTTGCGAACGAACGCGACGGAAAGAACGAGATCGACGGACGAGAATTATGCACGGTCAGGGAATCTCCGGGTGCTGGACCGAATAACCGGGACTAGTCGATCGAAAGACAAAAATCGAAATTCGGTTTGGCTCGAGCGACGAAACGGCGACGCGACGAGTGCGAGACGCGAGCCGCTGAGCGACTTGAACGTAGCAAATTAGCAGCGCGATTGTTCTCCACTCGAAATCGTATCGCGACAGAGAAAGTTGAAACGGACTAACGAACGAGGAGCCCAACGGTCGAGCGAACGGAAGGGGAAGAGTGAGCGAGACAGAGCGAAGCACAGTGCGTGGCGAAAGGAGAGAACGGACGCGAGGGAAGACAAAGGGAGAAACGAGTGCGACGAGATAAGAAACGAGATTGAATTACGCGAGGAAGGAAAGACTGGGCCGCGAGGGGACGCGTGAGGCAGAGATCCGAGGAAAGGGGAAGGAAAGGAGCGACGGTAGAAGCGACGGTAGTAGCGTTTGGAAACGGTTGAAGAGAATTTCGAACAGAAGTGTGGTTCGGGGTGGGCGGGTGGGTGGGGATCGGTGCGTGCGTGCATCGTGCAGCGTGCGTGCGTGCGTGCGTGCATCGTACGTGCGGCGTGCGTGCATAAACAAGAAAAGGAAGAGGAAGAAGAAGAAGAAGAAGAAGAAGAGTCAGAGTCAGAAGAGGAAGAAGCGAAAGAGAAAAAGGGAAAGGAAGACAGAAGCCACGACATTAGAATCGGGAAGAAAATAAAGGAAATAAAGGTTCGTTCGTTCGGTGGTGGTGGTGGTAGTAGTAGTGGTGGTGGTGGTAGTAGTAGTGGAGGCGGTGGTGGTGGTGGTGGTAGTAATAGTAGTGGTGAGTGGGCGCAAACTGCGCGAAGCTAGTTCGTGGTTAAAAGCTGCAACGAAGCGCGAGGCGTGCAGAGTTGCAGCAGGAAATTATGAAGCGCATAAGGAGCGCCCTGTTGGCCGCCGCTTGTGATAGTTGCCGGTGAATGTGTGATCCGGGGGCAGCAGAGACCCACCGTAATGACGACCGAAGACACGACCGAAGAGACGACCGAGCAGCCCCCGGTAGACGACTGCCTGAAGGAACGGAAATGGTGGTGCTTCCTGCTGTCGAGCGTCTTCACTTTCCTTGCCGGGCTGCTGATCGTACTCCTCTGGCGTGCGTTCGCCTTCCTCTGCTGTCGCAAGGAAACCGAGTTCGCCCCGAATTACCCGAAACAGAAAGAGCAAAAGACGAGCCGCCAGGGTAAGGAGTTCGAGGGGACTTTTATGACCGAGGCCAAAGACTGGGCCGGTGAACTGATTTCTGGACAGACCACCACTGGACGTATTTTGGTAAGTTTCTCTTTCTTCTAGTTACTTTTTCTTTATCTTTCTTTATTTTCTTTTTTATTTCTTTTATTGACACGCGTATGTCCACGTTTTGCCCACCATTGCTTTCCTGTATCTTTGCTTTTACCTTGTAGCCTCGGAACGAAAGAGAGACAAGAGGAGAGTGTGAGCGTGCGACAGAGAGGGAGAGGGAGCGAGGGAGAGAAAGATATGCGAATATACCGGAGTAACTGCTACGTATTAGGACGTTTTATTATTTTTTCCCATGCACGTTTCTGTTCTCGATGGCGTCCATCGAGATTTCTCTATTTTCTGAAGTATTTCTTAATACTCAGCTATAAGCGGTATTAACTTTGAGGTAGCTTTGAAATAACTACGCGTTCCTGGAATGTCGAATGATCGGGACTCCGTGAATATGCATGAGATATGACTTCGTGTGATTTATACCGTTAATGTCCATTCAGGTTTACAAGGTGGCCTGACGTGGTTGCCCGCAATGAATTCTGTTGTCATCGATTTAAACGATATTTACGCACAAGTGTATTCATGTATTCGCGTAGAATTGCGTTACACTATGTTGCTCGATTTTTAGGATTTCTTTGATAGGTTATGGTTAGAGCGGTAGTCTCGAGATTTATTAAGCGTGAAAAGAGTAACGCGGATGCAACGGGAGACACGCAAAGAGAATCGAAACGTTGTACATGGTGTTTCGATCGTTTATACGAGATGTATATATGTACATGTATGAGATGAGGGACTAAGGTACGAATTATAGTTCGCAGTCGCATGAAGTTACTTCCATCATGTGGAGTTTTTGTTTCTGCTAAGTTAAACGTACCAGGTTGAGCTTTTGAGAAGAAAGTGAAAAGGGATCAATTACAAGCTCAAACGTATTGGTGGACCAAACTCCAACTCCTCTACTAGCTTAGGAGGAGCGTGGACTGATACATGAAATACGTGTATACGTGTGTGTAGGAGAGAAGTAAAAGCATTAAACTTTATTTTTTAAGCAGTTGTATGCCAAAGGTATTACTATTTGCGAATGGATAAAGTATCTTAATTTCTTTTCTACTGCAAAATTTGTGAATTTTGTGTTTGCATTATTTTACATATCATCTTTCGATACTCTTCGTCAACGTGTAATTAATTTTTTAATAAAATTTTTAATTTTATGGTGGTTGTATATCGAGTAATGTATCATTTGTTGAAATGAAAATTTCGTTAAAGTATTTGTTAATTGCTGCTGCCAGTATTCGTATTACTTTTCACCTGTACTTCATGGTATCCATGTATGAATAGCTGTTTATCGCAAAAACGATTTAGGTTTACCAAGCCTGCCACCTTTTCATGTCCCGGAACGTTTTTTCCTAATTAAAACATTTTTTCGGGCACTGTGTTATTGAAATAGGTTATGTAGCAGCGCACGCTACTTTAGATAATACTTTATTCATTGACGATGCATTTTGGATAAAAATTATGGTAAATTATGAAAGTAATATAACGTATAATAAAATTGCGATATATTTTTCCGAATCAGTGTAAAAAGTTGTATATTCGTTTTAATAATTAGAACGACGGTTCCACTTTATATAGGTTAGGTAGAATATTATATATCTAGGAAAATGAATGAGATAACTTTAAACATTTTAATTATTATTTAACGACAAATGTATGATTGGACTTCCTTTGGTTATAATTTCTTATAAAAAGTTCAATATTCATTTTAATAATTAGAATGAGAATTCCACTTTATATAGATTAGGTAGAATATTATATCTGGAGGATAATGTATTAAATAACTCCAAACGTCCCAATTATTATTTAATGTTAAATATTGGATAGTTGGACTTCCTTTGATTATAATATCTCACAAAACGTTCCATATTCGTTTTAATAATTAGAAGAACGATTCTATGATACTTTATACAGATTAGATAGAATATTATATCTGTAAGATAATATTTTAGGTAACTTTAAATGTCCTAATTATTGTTTAACGACAAGCATTGTATGATTTAGTCTTTCTTTGGTTATAATTTCTTATAAAACGTTACCTGTTCGTTTTAATAATTAGAATGGCGGTTCCATTTTATATAGGTTATGTAGAATATTATATCTCGAAGATAATGTATTAGATAATTCTAAACGTTCTAATTATTATTTAATAATAAATGTTACATGATTAAACTTTCTTTGGTTATAATTTCTTATGAAACGTTACCTATTCATTTTAACAATTAGAATGGTGGTTCCATTTTATATAGGTTATGTAGAATATTATATCTCGGAGATAATGTATTAGATAATTCTAAACGTCCTAAGTATTATTTAATGACAAATTTTACATGATTGGATTTTCTTTGGTTATAATTTCCTGTATCTTTTCTCGTTGCTTTCGTTCGTTGCTTAGCTCATCAGCGATCGATTGTATCGTGCGACGATTGTATCGATGATCGTATCGATGAGTATGCGACGTGTTTTCCGAGAAATTTGACATGTGAAAAGAAAAAATGATCACAGCGTCTACGCGCAACTATACCATGTTATATACATATATATACACGTACATATAATGCCATGTACAGAAAGTGAGTTCACGGCACGAGTTAGCTCGAGTATCGTAGCTGGTGACCCAGTTTTCGTTCGTGGAACCAGCACGTCGTTGACTGAAGTAGAGGGGTAGTTTCTACGCAGTGCGTGCTTTATCCTGTGGGGCGTGTTTCCAGCCTTTTTCCTTTTCCAAGCTTCACGATTCTATCCTCCTTGTTTTATTTGCGTTGCTTCTAAATGAAAAAAAAGGATAAAAATACTAATTTCTATTCCAAATTAGAGGAGTGAGATTTTTAATGGCGTATGCTGCGATAAATATAGCTAGAATTTTCTTAATGACAACCTTAGTCGACTTAGGCGATTTTGATATAATTTCAGTACGTTTGTGATACAACATTTATAATTTTTATATTTTTCTTTTATTTCTGTGCGATTGTGTAGGTTGTTTCATTAAAGTTATTGCAACGTCGATGATAAGTATATGTAATACTTGGAGTATTTTTATCATCTTTTAAGTGCTAAGGATTTTTAGTTACGATTGTTTTAATGTAAAATATATGTCATATTATTATTTCGTATTAATGGTTTCAGTTTTGTAAAGGGATATTTCATGCACGAAAATGGAAATAGAAGTCGAGAAATTTTAATTAAAGAATGACTAATTTAAAAATAAAAGTTTCTTCTACATTTATCTCTGATGTGAATTATAATTTCTTTTTTTTTTGTATAAATCCATATATTTAATTATTAATATTTTTGTGGAATACTAAGTATAATTTTACTCTAAGAGTCTTTTGATAATGATAAATGTGAAAATTAAATCATAAGTGAAGAATGATGAAATGAGAGGATTTAGTCATCTAATCTGAACGAAGGCAGTCAAGAATCGATGATTTATACAGCTATCCTATATCCACTCGTGTATATTTTAAAGTATCAACTATTTTATAACGTTTAATTTTATCTAAATTGCTCATAAATATGAAATTTTTATTATATTTCCAATTTATTGGTATTTCCTAATTACACGGTATATTTATCTTGAAATATCGTGTTCTTATTTATAAGTATACGCATACCACTATATCTAAAATAATCGGAGATTACCATAATTACTATCTAAATAACGCATAACACGATATCCGAAATTCTATCGCTTTATTTACTCAAAATATGCACTAATATTAAATAGTAGAACGTAATGAATCGTACTTTAATGTTCAAATACATGGCAGCTAAACTTCTTTACGAATTTAATGTAATATTAAATTATAGTTTAACATAAGTTTCAATGGTTCGTGTATTAAATCTATTAAAACACTAGTGTCGACTCAAACAACAACAACAACAATAACGATATTAAAATGGTTCCTTTCGTCGACTCAAATAATAATAATAATAATAATGATGATGATGATGATGATAATAATAATAATAATAATAATAATAATAATAATAATAGTAATAATAATAATAATAATAATAAAATGATTCCTTCGGTCGACCCGAATAACGACAACAACAATGCCAACAACAACGACAACAATGTCAATAACAACAACAACCACAATGGCAATAACAACAACGACAAAACAACAATAACAGCAATGGAAATAACAATAACGACAATGGCAATAACAACAACGATGGTCGACTTCGGTCGACTCAAATAATAATAGTAATAATAATAATAATAATAATAATAATAATAATAATAATAATATGGGTCCTTCGGTTAACAGTCTCTCTCCGTATGTAAAGTAGAAATTTGGATTTCATAAATGTACGATATAGATTTCTTTTTAATTCAATGAACTCGAAGTAGGTGTACTGCGATTATGTTTGTTGTTTGGAAGTTTTAGCTTTGCGGTATATAACACAGATCTACTTTAGGACTTGAATTATCATTGCAGTTCTCATTCACATGACGTGTGCACTACTTTGGAGGAGGTACTGCGTCATTTTTATGCTTGCAGTTAATTTCTATAGTTTGTCCCATTTCGTTAGAGTGTACGCATACATGAATATTGTGCTAAGAAGTGTGTTTCTGGGTTAAACGATAAATAAATCGAATAAATTTGATATAGCGCTTGGTTCGCGTTAGTTCGTTAAACCTTATACGTCTCCATTTTGTTTTACGTATGTTATATTATATCCTTATTGTATCACCGTAGACCAAGCTGAGAATTTTTGTATAAGGAAAATTTTAAATTACAAGTATATTTCACCGTCATTGTTACCGCTATGATCGTTTAAATAAATTTTATCGAACTCTTCGGTAGTATACTGAATTATCTTTTTAGGTGCAGACAGATGGCGCGCGTGTAGCTCAAGTAGTACCGTCTAGTTGTCATCTGTGTTTAATTTGTTTGTGGATTTGGCATTAAATCCATCGAAGAAACCTGATTTGTTGAACAAACTCATTAAAGAACCATAGTATAAGTCTAGATATA